TTTTACTGGTGAAGACTGTGCTCAGCCTGGAAGGAAGGAACAAACTGCCCCAGGGGAGCAGGGCCCGGAGCCCCGCCCGCCCGCCCTGACTTGTTGTTGTTTTTCTGTCCGCAGATGCCAGCCAGGCGGGCGGCTGCTGGTTTCATTAGCGTTCGGGCACCTGCTGGCACAGTCACTTCTAACAAACACAACAGCCACAGCGTAACTCACGGCTGATAGATTTTTAAAAATCAACAGTAAAACTGTAACTTGTTTTGAGAAAAAACAGGGAAATAAGTGTGTACAACAGAGGGGTGGTGTCTGCAGATTCTGATAAAGCGCCTGCGAGCTGGAGGGAGAGTGGTGGGATGAGCAGTGTTTATCTTGGAAATCCAGCCTGGTGGCCCTCACCTCGGGAATAAACACTGTAGAATGGTAACAGAAAGTGTCAAATCTCTGCTTTTTATTTATCAACAGTTACAATACTTCTTTCTCAGGAGGGACAGATAATATCATCTTTAGGCTCCAGTCCCTTCCCTTAACCCCTCTCTCAGTTCACAGTGGCATTTTACTGTCAGATGGGATTTGAACAGCTGATCCTGGCCTAGAAGTTACATGGTAGCACCCTAGCAACAGAGCAGAAAACAGTCACCATCAAAGTCACTTTCCCCTCACATGGACTTGGAAGGCAGGAGCCCAGCCCGAGGCAGCTGCTGGTGCAGGAAGTAACGGTAACGCACGCATGGACACCCCAAACAGGAATAAACTGTGAATTCAAACAAAAATAACACTGGGCAGCAATGACCAAGGAACTGCAAAAAGATTTCTCAGCTAAAAATGTGATGATGCCAAAGTTCCACCGTGTCAGAGGTCAGCAATCTGTCTCAGGGCCACGGCACCCTCACGTGTGGCCACGGCTGCTTCTGCTCACATGGCCGGGAGAGCTGTGCCCTCATGGCTACTGCCTGGTCCTGGCAGAACACGCTGCCGCCCCCTGCCCCGAGACCACACTCCACCATGCGGGATTCTTACCAGAAACGAGTGATTAAAAGTCACTAGGAAAAGGCTTTTCTGCCACATCAAGGCTGTGCACAGTCACAACCCCTCCCCAGGGTGGAGGTCAGAAATGTGTGAATGTTTGGAAAGAAGTACTAATATTCTTTAAAAGAACTTATATTCTTTAAAAGAAGTACTAATATTCTTTAAAAGTACTAATATTCTTTAAAAGAAGTACTAATATTCTTTAAAAGAAGTACTAATATTCTTTAAAAGAAGTACTAATATTCTTTAAAAGAAGTACTAATATTCTTTAAAAGAAGTACTAATATTCTTTAAAAGTGTTAGTATGGGCCAGGCTCTCCACGTGATGTGCGTCCTGCTACCATCTCCCCAAACTAAGGCTGCCACCACGGCCGAAGATGCAATGTAACCGCACAAACAACACAATCACACTAGCAGTGAGTGGCTGCACTGCCCCGCCTGCCTTTCTTCACGGCTTGCTTTCTGTAAGTGGAAAGCATACAGTCATAAAGCGCACTGTTCGGCCGTAAGTGGAGGCGTTTAGTTAATAAAAATCACTGCTTCTACGCAGGTGGTACCGTGCAGTCCAGAGCAAATGCTACGAAGCCAGAAGGCCTGGGACTGGATCCTGACCCCTCTTACTCGCTGTGTGACTGAGGGTCTGCCTGTCGGTTGACAGTAATCCTCAGCAGCATCACTGTGAGGTGCGTGTGAGGGTGAGTGAGTTCTAACACGAAAAGCACTTGGGATTGTGCCTGTTGCACGGTTCAGGGCTACTGAATGACGAACTCTTTCCAGGGGAGTGTAAAATCAGGAGATTAGAACATCGGTGAAGAAAACCTATGAAGCAACATCTAAATCCGGGCAGAGCAGAGCAGAGCAGAGCAGAGCAGAGCGCCTGGGAGTCCAAGCGCCACGGGTACCAGCGCTCAGGCCCCGCGACCCGCCAAAGGAGGATGAGCACGGAACACAACGCGCCGGGAGCGGGGGCTGCCCCTCCACACATCTGGCAGTTTGGGAAGAAGTGCTTGGAACACCGCTCCCAGCAGCAATGACTTCAGGACGGCACCTGAGGCGGCCACGTGGTTTGAACCAAGCTGGTGGCTCTTCCAGCTGCTCACTGGGAAGAAAGTTGGCTTCCTTAAAAGCCCTGTGCTCCCTCGATCTGCATCGAGATGTGGGGCTACGGGTCTGCAGGAGACTAGTTTTCCACTGCAGCAGGCAAGAGACTGAAACCTGAAGACAACTGAATTTCCGAGAGCTAGCATCATGCTGCAGAAGAAAATTAAAATCCTGAGTTTGTCATGCATGGCTGGCCAGCAGGACAGCTCCATGGGAATGAAGCTTTCCTCTCTGTGCATGTCCTCTCCCTGCACTGGTCACAACACTCATTGTCTCCCCACCCCTCCCAGACCCTGCGGTGCCGGGGTGGGCAGGGCTGGCTCTCACTTACTGGCTCCGAGCAGAGCGAGGCTCAATCTGAGCTATGACAGTCTGCCCAGGACTTTTTCTGGAAAGACATGCGCTCTGGGATTGATAAACCGGTGACCTGTCCATCTGCCTTCTTCGGTCGGCTCCACTTGGAGAGAATGAAGGCAGCACAAAAGAAAATAGAGCTAATAGACAAAGAATGAAAGTGCAAATGACCTTGTTCAGGCCTCTGGACACAGCCATACTGGAGGTGGCTATAAACCTCTGGACTTCCTAGTTACGGAGACCAATTATCACCCGGAATCCCCCACCACTTCTTTGGCATGAGCCAATTTAAGTTGAGGGTCTAGAGCACATGTGTCAAACACAAGGCCCGCGGGCCAAATCCGTCCCGCCAGGCCTTGCAATGTGGCCCGCACCGCGCTGTCATCACTGCACTCCGCTGCGTTTCCATCACAATGACAGTTTATGACTGTTCAGTAAACCATTCGGCCCGCGATTTAGGCTGGATTTTAGATTTTGGCCCCTTCTCTGATTGAGTTCGACACCCCTAGTCTAGAGCTTCCACAAAAGCCTTCTAACAGAAGTAAGTCTATAAATAAGGGCGGGAAAGTAAGCTAAGGTTGCAGGTTGGTGGTGGGCTTTCCAATCCCACTGAGCAGACATGAGCTGGTTTTACACTGGATCTGTCAGGACCTCTCATACAAAAGCCAGACTCCGAATACCGTGAACAGAGGGCTGTGTTTTTATTTTATTTATTTATTTATTTATTAAGATATCAAGTATAGGCATCAATCCTAATAATCTTATGATTCATTTCTTTAGTACTAGATGTGGTTTAAAATTATGCCGTCTCCTTGTGGAGGTATCCTTTTGCATAATTACATACATATACATATGTATGTAGGTGCATGTGTATCCCCTAATTGTCTGCTCACATAATAAATGACCTACGATTTGCAGGTTAGAATGGGAATACTTTTGGCTATTGACAAAATTTTTTTAATGGGTCAAATTGGAAAACTACCCATTTTCTTGTGACTCTGAAATTGAAACGTCACCAAAACTATTGACAGTAATTTTACAGTTCTAAAGACTTTATACAAATAAATCCTGTCTATGGGTGTTCATTGGTTTTTTTATAGATGAGTGAAATCAGCACCAAGATGGAACTTAAAAGTGATTTTCTACAAAGATCTTTTCCTCTTAATACCTAAATAGGAATTGGCAAATGATCAGGAAACAATAAAAGATTCTATAATGAGTGATTCATAAGAGAACAAAGCCCAATCGCACTAACTTGAATCATAATAATTGCAAAGTGCGATTGCTTAATTTAAAATAAAATATCACCGATCTTGACTTGATATTCAGAAACATATAGGCATCTCTTCCTAAGAAATTGAGAGTACTTCCATTTTTAATGAACACATAGTGCTGTTAAAGTGAAATATTAAATCTGGGAAGCTATGAAATAAATCCACAGATTTCCATTCATGCATCAAAACATGATATTCACCAAAATGTCTTTCAGGTAACACTAGCTCTCCCTCAAAGATGACTTTAGTGCTACATCTGTACCCAAGTCCATAAGATACAATAGATTGTTCTAGCAACACAAGTCCACACAAGAGCAGGCAAACACCTCCGGAAATCAGCCTGTCTGTCTCCAGAGACGTGACCGAGAGAGAAGAGCCAGCGAGAAGGCCCTCAACACTCCATTTGTAAACCATCATGCACCTGGACATAGAGGAGTTATATCTGTACATATATTTGATTGTTCCATGGGATAGCAATATATTAAACATAATGTATTAACTTTCAGTCTACATATCAATGACTCAACGATATTATCGACATACTTACAAGATGTCAATGATGTAGAGCAGGTAAGGGAAATATTAAGCTGCAGTGCAAAGCATTTCACTTCAGGTGGACACATCAATAACTTCCAGAGGTACTTGACATGTGTTACAGGTTCAAACGAGATAACCCAAATTTTAGTCATACTTTAATTGTAGAAATTAAAGTTACTGCACTCTCCACATAAGGACAAGAATGGGAACCAAAGTCAACAGCATATAGAAAGATAAAAATCAAGCTGTCAACGCACCCACTGTTTGTGTGTATACAGTCATTTGTATAGAAACACAGAAGAGGCCCCATCAACAAGCTGCCACTGGCCAGTAACTGGCACCAATTTTAGAAAAGTAGGCTAATGAGCAGTCACTGATTTGTCATGTAGGGACATGAATAAAAGTAAAACTAACTGCAAGTTGAATATTGGGAGAATATGTTTAATCACTATCATTGTGGGAAACGGGTTGAGCACAGGCTCTTCCTAATAAGTGCACCACACTGCCCCTGGCGTGTGCACCCCTTTCTCTCAACAGGGCAGGCCTCCCTCAAAGCTGTCACCATTCCCGAGATAGTGTGCCCGACCCTGAGATGTCCAGTCCCTCTCAAAGCAGTCATGTGACACCCTCCAGCAAATAGGCATCATAGGAGGAAAAGCATAGGAGAGGGAGGGGATGGCTACGAAAAAGGAGAAAGTGTAAAAGCATTCTTACTTCAGAAACGATGGGAAGTCTTCGCACACTGCTTCGCAGCCTGGCCACTTGCACACGCCGTGTCCATAGAGTGGATGGCTGTGGGGGTGCTCCTCGTGGGGCACGCTGAAAGAAAACACACAGGGGCTCAGAGCGGGAGCCTGCTGCCGGGACCACCCCACAAAGGCCCCACGCCAGCAGGAATGACTGCGTTTCCTTTCCCCAGGAAGCTCACCGTTAATGCTGCGCTGCTACTTAAAAGCAGGAGTTAAATGCCCGAATGCGAGCACTGCGATGTTAGCAATGTGCCACCATGTAGAAAAGTGTCTGACAGCTTTGATTAGATGCAAAGCTCTCTGCTTAGACTGAGAAGAATTCTTTAAGGAGCTAGAACTTATCTTTTAATCTGCACAATAAAATTGCAAAATCTGTACTTAATTTTGATTCTCTTATTGTTTTTTACCCAGATTGTACATTTTTTTCTCCCCTTCCACCATAATTTACTGTACCATAACTCATACAATCTTTTCACAAGTTAATTTTGTCAAGCAAACAACAGTGCAATCAATTGAGAATAAAATACTTCAGAAAGACAAACATATCCAAGTAGATAATTAGCTCAAAAGAAAAAAAAAGCTAATAATGGCAAGAAGATCATATCCCTAAAATTGCTGACCCAAGTGGGAAAGAAAAGTTGGCAAGAATCAGAGAGGGGTAAGCCTGGTGAGCTCCGTTCCGATGGGTCCCTGCGTCTGGCCCGGGAGCAGTCACCACGGGACCTGGCCCAGGACTGGGGAAGCAGCCCCGCACACTCGCTGATGAGCCGCATTCACAAAGATTCTCTCTCTTAGCTGCAGCTAGACTTCCTTCCGACAAAGTGTCTTTACAGTCATTTCCATACCCTTTTCCCATCAAATATAAATATAAAACTAACACTGAAAGTTGTATTTTTGCACAAGCACATTCTCTTCAAGAAAAGGGTTATTTTGCAACTTTTTCTACTACCCCTCCCTGACTTTTAACTTCAAGCACAGTGAATTATCACACACACTCTCACGCAGGCATGTATGCACACACTCGTGTGCACACACAGGAGTCTTGTATTTTATTACTATATTATTTTAATTATTTTTCTGGAGAGAGGAGAAGGGAGAGAAAGATCAAGGTGAGAGAGAACATCAACTGGCTGCCTTCCTTATATGACCCAACCCGGGACTGAACCCAAAGCTAATGTGTCCCAATGGGGAATCAAGCCCAAAACCCTTTGGTACACTGGACTATGCTCCAACTCACTGAACCACACTGGCCAGGTCATGAGTCTTGTATTTGATATCACCACTAGGATGTGTATTAATATATTTTATTGATTTGCATTCATACAGCAGACATACACATGCCACTTGTCCCTTACTTATAATCACTCCACAGTGAACTTTAAAAATAAACATACTTATATAGCTATAAAAAAGAAGGATCTTTTACCCTCTGAGACAGCATGGAGGGATCAGGAGAGTATTTTGCTAAGCGAATTAAGCCAGACAGAGAAAGACAAGAATCATGTGATCTTACTTATATGTGGAATCTAAAGAACAAAATAAACTGACAAAAAAAAAAAAAAAAAAAAAAAAAAAAAAAAAAAAAAAAAGGATCCAGAGATGCAGTGCAGTAGCATGCAACAGACTGACAAATTTCAGTGGGAAGAACTTATGTGCGTACTAGTATTGCATTGCCCATGAAGGCCTATGGAGGCGGCGGGATCAGGGTAGAGGGGTTCAGTGGGGGAAACAGGGGAACACCTGTAATACTTTCAACAATAAAGATGAAAATTTTACAAATTCATGAATGTTTTCTGCACTCAAAAATAAACAAACACACACACACACATAGAACGACACCTTAACAAAGATCAATATCTCCCTATGGCTTTTGAATGATTTTGCTGGAAATCTAATATAATTTGAAAATAATAAGCTATTTTGCCTTAAAATGGAAAATAAACCTGGGAACAACATCACCACACCCAGCCTTGTACAAGACTAGCTAATGAGAGCACTGGAGGCGGCCCCCCAGAGACAAGAATAACCCAAGTAAATTACGATGGCCACAGTGAGATTTACGAAAAGCCCAATGAGAGGGCAAAATTCCCCTGGACTGAAGGAAGAATTGCTATCATCCATGTTCTCCTTCCTATCTTTTTAAAGGAGTAAAATAGATGTAACCATTTTAGATGACAGAAGCTAATAAAACTTATTATGAAGATCACTTTATTATTTATGTACATAAATTATGGTGTACAACTTATACAACACTGCATATCAATTATATCTCAATAAAACTAGAAAAATAGATGACACAAAATGGAATTTTAAAAAACTGACAATATTTGAAATTAAAGAATCTTTCTAACTACTAGAAATCTCACATATTCTGAAAGAAGGAAATCATTTTTAAAAATAATGTTATTACAAATAGCTTAAAAAGAAAAACCCTAACCAGAATAGTTAATATATGTTAACTGCATAAAACCTGGAAAATGTTAAAATAAAAAAAATTAAACTTACACATACATATTTTTGACAAATTAAAGCATGAAGTTTATATCATTCTCTTATAGCCAATGCAATTCTGTAAATAAGTCCTCATGGTATCAAGCAGTCTTCAAGTACCTTGCTTATTGATGTGTAAAGGCTCTAGTCGCATGCCAAAATTTATCTAACTTTCATCTACTTTGGACATTCCTTTCCTATTTCTTTAATTTATGAATAATGTCAGAAATAAACTTTACCAGGCTAAATATCCCAGTATATAACTGATTTTTACCAGGAGATACATTCAGATAAATGGGCTGACTCAGTTAACAAGTACTAAATTTTAAAATTTACTATGAATATCCTATCAAGTTGCTCTTGATAATGCTACATGCCAACTCCATTCTTAGCCATTATACATTTTGTGCGATTCTTTAAACTGGAAACCTGAAACCTCAACTAGAGTAAGGATATAAAATTATCATCTATACAGGCATACCTGGAGATATCGTGGGTTCAGTTCCAGACGACTGCAATGAAGTGAATATGGCAATAAAGTGAGTCATGCAGGATTCTGGTTTCCCAGTGTATATAAAAAAGTTATATAAACACTATTCTATAGTCTATTAATATGCAATAGCATTATGTCTAAAAAACCAATGCACTTACCTCAATTAAAAATCCTTCCATGCTAAAATCTGCTACCCATTATCTGAGCCTTCCAGGAGTGACCACCTTTGTGGCAGGGCTCCACAAAGCTTCAAATTGTAAGACAACAACTACAACAAAGGAGTAGCTATGAAGCACAACAAAATGAGGAATTCATGTGGCTAAAAATTGCAAACGCTGATTCTACGGTGCTTTCTGGGTTCAGCTGAGAATGTTCTGAAAGTAATCTTAGGAAAGAAAACACTACCCATTCAGCAGAGGAGCCTCTGACTACAATAAGATGTATATGATTTAATGTGGTGCTTGCCACCCCCCTACCCCACGCCTGGGTGCTGGTTAACATATTTGTGAAGGCTCCATGGCTTGAATAAAAACTATTGTGCTCTAAGAATTTATTTTTAGTTCAACCTGGTCAGGAAGGGCAGATGACAACTGACTGAGGCCTCGGAAGTCAGCCAGTGACACCTGAAGTCCAGAGAAAGTCAACTCCTCACACACATAGCCCCACACTCAGAAGTCCACTTAAAAATGTGCCTCTGCTATAAGCTACGTTCTTACTATGAAAAGACTGTCTGCTCTTATTTCTTTAAGTTCATGTGACACTGTAGGCTCCGGACGGAGCGCGCACCGCTCCCCAGCACAGCAGCTGCGTGGCCGCTAAGGAATCCCCAGCCACCAAGTGGAAGCACCCACCTCCTGCCACTGGCTTCTCCCTTCTACTACACCCTGAGACTTCTAGGTAGACATTGTCTGAAACAAAGGGCTCGGCTTTGGAAACAAAAGAAACAGACTGGCGAGGGGACCTGGCAGAATGTCTGGAGCAAGACTCTGTAGTAACTGCGCCTCCAGGGTCAGGGCCGGGAAGTAGGCGGTGGGAAACTCAGTTCCTGTGCTGTCACTTTTTGTTTCTGTTGCAGTTTTATTTTGTGTGCTGCAGGAATTGGTTGCTGTGTAACTACAACTTCTCACACAAACACGCGTACACGAGAAGAATGGGTGCTCTGCCCTCCGCCCAGGGCCTCTGGCCCCTCCTGTCTGAAGCCCCATCCCCGCACCCACCAGACTGAGTCCCTCTCAGCACAAGTTCCGACTGCCTTTGGGGACTTGCCGAAAAGGACAAGGAGGGAACTTTGAAAACAAGGGAAAGCAGGTTTCTACTGTAAACTGATTGGACATTTACAGAACGAAACATGGAGGGAAACGACAACGTGGGCCTCCAATGGCGAAAGAAACCCTGTGAGCCAGTCACATACCCACACGGTTCAAGGACCACTCGGGGGGCCAGGGACAAAGACGACGTCCTGGCTCTGAAGGAATGAAACTTGTCTGAACACAATTAAACTTTTTAAAATTAAAATTGCTTGTTTCTTACTATACACTCCTGGGCTGGGAATCCCAAGGGGCGAGGATCGGGTCTAATTCATCCCCACACACTCAGTCCCTCCTGCAGAACACAGGCCAGGACGTGTCAGATGGATTCATGAATGAACAGACAGGAAATAATGGTATCATTCTGTTTAATTTCCATACACTGAGCTGTATATCCCCCTTTTTCGGAAGGTAAAGACCTGTGTTAATATCATTCAATTATTAAAGGTAATCACCAGAATGATGCCAATACACTGGAGAAAACAGCATTCTAACACTTTCGATTAATTTTATTGTGAATATATGAAATACAAATAGTATGCAATCAAGAAAAACCAGTTGATTTAACATTCTCTTGATAATCTTTGATATGTAAAAATTAAGTATGATTTTAACAAAATAATAGTGATAGCATTTCAGATTAGAAAGAACCAGCTTGCCAAGGAAAGGGTGATTACGCATAAACATGTAACAATTCCTGACGTTACACAATAGTAAACACAGCATGTTGTCATGTCATTTCCTAAGACATTTACTTAAGAATTGTTTCTAGACACAGAA